ATCCCTGTCCCCGCTGTCCCTATCCCTGTCCCTGCTGTCCCTGTCCCCGCTGTCCCTATCCCTGTCCCCGCTGTCCCTGTCCCTATCCCTGTCCCTGCTGTCCCTGTCCCCGCTGTCCCTATCCCTGTCCCCACTGTCCCTATCCCTGTCCCTGCTGTCCCTGTCCCCGCTGTCCCTATCCCTGTCCCCACTGTCCCTGTCCCCGCTGTCCCTATCCCTGTCCCCACTGTCCCTATCCCTGCCCCTGTCCCCGTCCCCGCTGTCCCTATCCCTGTCCCCACTGTCCCTGTCCCTAGCCCTGTCCCTGCTGTCCCCGTCCCCGCTGTCCCTATCCCTGTCCCTGCTGTCCCTGTCCCCGCTGTCCCTATCCCTGTCCCCGTCCCCGCTGTCCCCGCGGGCAGTGGGCGTGGCCTGTGGGAGGGGCGGGGCCTCCCGGCGCCCTCACGCGCGGGGCGCGGCGCCTCTCCGGTGACGTCATCAGCGCTCGCCGCCGCCATGTCCTTGTGGCTGTCCCGGCTCGGCCGGGCCGCGGCCGCCCGGGCTGGGCGGGGGAGCTCCGGGCCGGGCTCCGTCCTGCTGCCGGTGAGTGGGGCTGGCTGGGCAGGGCTGTGTGCGGAGCTCCGTCCTGCTGGGGCGGTGAGCAGAGACAACTGGGGGCCGGAGATGCATCTCCCCGGGGCGGGCTGGTCCTTGGGAAGGGACGTTGCCGGCAGGGAGCTGGGAGAGGCGGCGAAATGCGAGGCAGACTGGAGCAAGTGCTGCAGAGTGGAGTGCGGTGACCTTCGGTTGCGGCTGCGAGGAAAGGAGTGGTAAATATTAATGAACGCCCCCGTGTAAGGGAGGTCACTGCACTGCTCAGAATGAGGTTTGTGCAATGTTTGTCGGGGTCTGTGGGAGGCTCTGAGGAGGGCTCAGAAAGTCCCTGCCTTCAGCCCCTTAACCCAGGTGGGTCCCTTTTGCCGCCTCTTGGAAGTCGTATATTGAAAGCCATATTGAAATGAAGCTGTAACTCTCCTGAGAGTGGGTGTTAGTTAGTGTCATTATGTGCCCAAAACCACACAAAGTACAAGCAAAAGTCGAATGTGTAGTTTCTCTTGGGAACCCTTGGTGTGTTGTGTATTTGGCCTTCAGACTGAAAATTGTTCCATGTTTTCTGTCTTCTCAGCCTTTGATTTAATGAACAACTTCCCTGCCTAACCACTGCTGCAGTTGCTAAGGTTACTGAGTAAAAAGTTGTATTAGATGCATAACAGTGTGTCCTGTGTGTGTGTCTGAAAAAACAGTGTTTTTAGCTGAAAAATCCCTGCAAACCTGCTGATTTCCATGTGTTTTTCTCCAGGCAAGAATCCACACCAGCCCTGAGCAGAGCCTGCAGTATGGGTGGCTGGCCTATATGTTGGGAGAAAGGACCAGCAAGAAGTTCACAGAGCACAGCAAAGTCTTTACAATAGAGGGGAATCTGTCTTCTGGGAAGGGCAAGCTGGCCCAGCAAATAGCAGACAAACTGGGTATGTCTCACTCTGTCCGTTCCCCTGAAAAATGGTTCCCCTGGTTCTTGTGCAGAGGAAGTTCACCAGAGCAGCGGTTCCTGACTGGGAAATGCTGGAGGGAGTGGGGAGGATCTGTGGATGATGTTGGTGAGGTTTGGGACAAGGATTTGTTGTGAGTGAAGCTTCATTTCTAATGGAGTCTGTGTGCTCACTGTGCTCCCAGAGAGTTTGGGTTTTCCACAGGGATGTACTTGGAAGAGCTCAGCTCTCCCTGGGCTGTGCCAGAGCTCGCAGTTGGGTTCATTGCCCTCTGCTGTGATAGACGGGGAGCTGGGGCTGTTTGGGAGCTGTTCAAGGAACAGCTGTGCATTCAGTAGCTGAGGAGGTGTGTGCTGCAAATGAACACAGCTTATTTCTGCTACGGGTTTCTTCTCTCTTTCAGGAATGAAGTACTTCCCCGAGGCAGACATCCACTACCAGGATAGGCTCTCAGGGGATGGCAAGCCGCTGCCTGAGAAGTTTAGTGGTTTCTGTAACCTGGAGAAGTTCTACACGGACCCCAAGTCTCCCGACGGGCACTCGTACCGCCTGCAGTCCTGGATCTTTGGGAACCGTGTCCTGCAGTACGCTGACGCCTTGGAGCACCTGCTCAGCACAGGTTGGGGAATCATGGAATGGTCTGGGCTGGAAGGGAACCTTGCAGTTCCTTTTGTTCCAACCTGGAGCCTGTTCTCCCTTGCAGGTCAAGGCGTGGTGCTGGAGCGCTCTCCCTACAGTGACTTTGTGTTCCTGGATGCCATGTTAAAGCAGGGATATGTCCACAAGAGATGTGAGTTCCTGCTAGCAAATGGAGGCTGTTTGGCCATAATCTCTCAGAAGTCTGGTAGTTAGCTTTAAAAAAGAAAGAAAACATTCCTGCTTGGAAGGAGGAAATCCTTTAAATGTTCAGTGTTCATGTGTTGTATGTTGCTGAGTGGAGCTAGTCTGGTTTCAGTGGCAGTGAGAGGACAAAAGATAAAGGGCACAAATTGAAATGCAAAATGTTTTGTTTGTAAGGAAAAACCCTTTTTCCACTGTGAAGAGTCAAACCCTGGTGCAAATCACCTGGGATGTCCCCCCTGGGGATATTTAGAATGCTGTGAGTGGAGTTCTCAGCAGAGCGGTTGAACTGGTGATTTAGGGATGTTCCTCCCAACCTTAGTGATTTGTTTTGGGGTTATGGGCACTGAGCTCCTGAGCTGTTGCTGCATGTTCTTAGCAAATCTGTGCTTTTGGCTGCTCCCGAGGTGGACATAACTGTTTTCTTGACTACCTCCTGTTTTTGCTGTTGGATTTAAGAGGTTTGTTTCTTGCCACCTGCTGTAAGTTACTGGATGGCTTTGAGAGCTGATTATAATGACCTGTGCCTGCATTGCTGAGGCAGCAAGGCCCAGTAATCCACAGTTTAATACAGAATCACAGTTTGGATTGTACTGGAATCCTTAGGGAACAGACATCTTGATTAGAGCTATTGCTGCTTATTGTCTCTAAATAGTGGAGGAAAAGCTGAGATTCCTGTAAACCTGAGTCAGGAATAAAGTCCTTTGATACAACTGGGTTTAGATTCTTAGATCTCAGTGCATGGAACTTTTCTGGAGATAGTTTTTCCGTAAACTTCCTGAATTCTGTTTGAGGAAAAGCATACCCTAAAGTTACTCTGTGAGCCCTGAAGAAGAAACTGCAAATACAGAGGTGGGGAATGTGATTTATTTGTATTTTACACAGGCCTTGATCACTACAAAGAGGTCAAGGAGATCAGCATTTCTGAGTTGCTGCCACCTCACTTGGTCATTTATGTAGATGTGCCTGTCCCAGAAGTGCAGAAGAGGATTCAAGAGAAAGGCAAGGTAATTTGATCTCTAATTATTGCCTATTTATCTTTTACCTTTATTATTACTTGTCTCTCACAATTGCTGCCTGCTAATGTCTGTTGTAATCACTCCTTATGTGGAGTCTTGTGGGGTTTGCTGCTGAATGCTGCTTCTGGGGAGCTGGTTGTCCTCTGAGGTGTGAGATCTGTGACTCTGTGGGTATTCTTGTATGCTTTCTTTAAAAAGGCAAAAAAAGGGCAAAAATCAACTTTTTGTGTGACTGCATTGATATGTTGTCATTTGTGGAATGAGAAATTGTTTTAAAAGCAGGTGAATTTTTATACCTGACTGTGTAGGTGTCACTTCAGGAGCTGTGGGCAGGTGATGTGCTGATTGCAGTGCACTTAGAGATGATATATTTATTATTCCTGAGTGTCAGGAGCCCAGCTGGGGTCCCTGGCTCCTGCTTCCCAGTTGACTGGTTCCTCACCCCTGGGCTGGGGTTCATGTGTAAGTCATCTGGGATCAGAAGGTTCAGTTAACTCCCTGAAATCCAGCAAATCACTGCTGGGTGATTGTGTTATTGAGCTAGTCTTGACTCAGGAAAGCTGTAGGGTGCTTTTGGGGAATAACTAATCTAAGTAAGGTTTGTAATTTGGGCTTTTTTTCCCCTCTTTTTTTGATACTTAGATGTGTACTTGTAGCTGTTTGCAGATGTGTTATGAGGATTAAAAGATGTTTGTCTTACCTTGTTGAAAAGCTATGGGAAATGCAGTATGACTCTGGAAGGCCAGATAGATTAAAAGAAGGCTTTGATTTATTAGGAAAAAGTTCTCAGTTAAGTTCTTAATTTATTGGGGAACCTGTGAGTTCTTAGCCCTTCTGAGCATGAAAATCAGTGGCATTTTTGAAACCTTTGGACAGAAATTGCTGATGTAGCTTGTGACTTTTTGGGTTAGTGGCAGTGCTGAGCTCTGTAGGATTTGTTTGGGCAACGCACAGTAGATTAGAGAAATTCCTGGTGTTTTGCAAATGTGGCATTGAAAGTACACTGTGTGGAAAGCAAACTGGTTAACAATAGGGATGATATCCATGAAATTTCTCTGGAGTTTGGAGTGGGTGTTTGCCCACGCGCTTGTCTGAAACTCTGCAAATAGATGCAAATTTGGCCTCCTTATGGAAAAAGTGGACTCAGACAGTCTTCTCCTGTTTTCTGGGTAGCTATTATAGCTTGCTGGAATGTGTAGTTAGCAAGGATCAATCAGTCCTTGGATAGCTGCGGGCTGCTCTAGATATTTTATGGAATGTAAGGAATTCCAAACACAACACTCCTAATAAAACTCTTAATTCTTTGAAATTTTCACTGATGTGCATGTGGTTCACTTGGATGTTTGACTGTTTATCCCAGAGTGAGCCCTTGGCAGGTGCAGGGCAGACCTTGGAGTCTGTGCTGGTGTGAAAAGAAAGTTAATTCCACAGCTTTTTCTGTTTATTTGTTTGTAGCCATATGAGAAAAAGGTGTCTACTTCCTATCTCCAGAGCATTGAGGATGCTTACAAGAAGACCTTCTTACCAGACATCAGGTTAGCAAAGCAAAATATTTTGCCTCTTATGTCTTTGAGCAAAAATGTGTGCAAACCTTAAAATCTCTACCAATATCAACAAATCATGTGAAAAAATCCTCCTTGTGCTGCAGAGTACAGAATTGCGCCCTCGTAAGCGGTGCTGCACTTACAGCATAGGAGCTGTGTGAGTGTAGTTACTTCTGCCATCCCAGAAGCCTGATGCCAGTGTTGGAAGATGAAAATGGGTTCAGGAGTGGTGTGCAGAATGCCACAGCTGTGGCTGTATGTGTTTGCATGACTTGAAGAGAGAGTGATGCAATACAAGCTTTTCTCAGGCCGTTTTGGAAGGCTTTAGGGCTTTTCTCTCCTCGAAAAGTCATTTGGTTGTCACAGAATCCCAGAATGGTTTGGGTTGGAGGGACCTTAAAGCTCATACCACCCCCTGCCATGGCAGGGACACCTTCCACTATCCCAAGTTGCTCTGAGCCCTCTAGGACCTGGCCTTGGACACTTTCAGGAATCCAGGGGCAGCCACAGCTTCTCTGGGCACCCTGTGCCAGGGCCTCAGTGGCTCCTCCCTGGTTCCTTCCCA